TTAATATGTACCCCTAAGTCTCTGGAACGGAATACATGCACCGGTGAACCTACAACTACACGATTTATATTTTAAAAATAATTAAATTCACTTAGCATTCAAAACTTGCGAATTTTGGAAAAAACAAATTTGCTGATTAAATACGGACAACCGTTCAACTGAAGTAAAACGGGTTTTCCCCTCGCTATGGATGTCTGCCTAGTTCAGTTCAGCCACATTCCGCTACAGTTCGCCTTTATTATCAGTTCGAAATGGGGTGGTTCCGTAATACCCGCAGTGTTCCATAATACCACCTTCTCCTCTATATTATTTCTGTTGTATTTTTATTTTCTGTATTATTTTATTTCTGCTTATTTCTATATTTATTATTATAGTTTGTTTAGAATAACACTTTAATTTTTTATATTTGATACAGTATCTTTGAAATAATAAATGTGAAATGGAAATCGTAATGACATATTTTTTATCACCTTAATTTTATTTTTCAAGAAAAAAATTTACCGGTAAACCGGTATTTTAATTTTCATTTACCGAATTACCGGTAAATGAAAGTCGGTAAATTTACAATCCCTACTAGTCTCCACTGGCGCTGCCGTAGCTTTGCGTTATCAGACTGTCTGTTAAGTACTCCGTGTCGCCAAATTACAAAAAACCTGGATTTGGTGCACCGTTAACATCTAATGAAAAGCAAAAATATATTACTAACTTACAATTTGAGTGTTTAATTTCGTGCTACAACGCATACCCGCTCGGTCCAAATCTGTTGTCGGATGTACTGTACACTAGGGATCCCGGTTGTTTTTTTAACCCGGGATATATCCGAGGAAATTCTTCTCATCCCGGTAAATTTCGTAAAAGTTCACTTTTTTTCTTATCGTGTGTTAAAGTTGAGGAAATTTTGCAAAGAGAAAGTATAATTACTCATCAACTGTCGGAATACATTTGTATTTATTAATTATAAACCTACTTATTTGTTTTTTAAATTTTGGCTGGTTATGGCACGTCACAAATGGTCAATAATCAATACGTAGCTTATTCGTGAAAGGACTGAAAATTCTTTACTTCTCGGAAGCCGTAATATCTGGAATAAATGCGCTTACGCCGTCTTAATTTTTAACCACGCCCGGTAGCTTCGATAACTGCGTAACGCCGGGTTGCGCAAATTGGGAAAGAATACAAACGAGAGTGAAGTTTTTCTTCGTAAACCCGATTAAAAGACAAACGAACTGCCGAATTACCGGGCTATACGCTCGATGTTTCTATTAAAGCAGCCGAGGTAGACAAATCGAGAATACTATACGGCAGAAGAAGTACTACAATCTCGAAAAGAACTAGAAATCTTCCGGGCTACGGGTGAAAAAATACATCCGTCTTCTCTTAAATGCGATAAACACGATTCCAATCTCGTCAATGGAATCGGAAAGGGCATTCTCGGTAGCGGGACTTTTCATTACTAAAATAACAACTGGATCGGAGTATCGACCATTTTTGCTTTTTAAAATCATAAAAATTTACATTATTATTTTGCATTCTGTTTTATTTAAATAACGAAAATTACCTTTTAAGTTACAAGTTTCATCTAAGTTCAATTTTCAATTCAGTTGTACGCAGTTTCCAGCAAACTTTAATAAAAGGTTTCTATTTTTGAAAATTTCTACTTAATTCAAAGGTAATTTTTAATATATATATTACACAGCATTATTAATATGATTTTAGAGATTGCAGAACGTATTAAATCACTTAAAATGCAAAACATCTCAATTATTTTTAATTTCATCTTAAAAATAATTAATTCTATCCCGGGACAAGCAAAAAACCGGAAAATGAGAAACCCTACTGTACACATACAGTACTATAAAAATTGTGAGGTAAGAACTGGAATTCAAACGAGACGGCTGTGTCGGCTGCCACTTGTCTCGTTTTAACGACCCGAAACCTTTCTTCCGCTTTGATGGGCGGGGAAGCGAAACGTTGGGTAACCTTCGCCGTCGCTATTTGGCGCCGAACAACGCGGCATTTTTTGATTTTCTGTTGTGTGCGGCGCTAGTAAGCTGCCAATTGGATTACCAAAAGGACCAACGTCACTGCCCGCGTGGCGCTACGCCAACGAACGTACTCGGGTTGTCCAGCGCCTTAGTTCGTCGTTAAGTTTCGATAAGACAGAATTTGGTACAAAACTTATGGTAACAGTTGGTCGGAGGAAACGATTTTTAGCTCGAGAAACCGAAACTTCGTTTAGTAAGGCGTACGTGTCACGTATAGCATCGATTGTCCTAATCGTGTCAAAATTACGGACAGAATTGCTGTAATTACGTAGAAATTTCGCTAGCCTTTTTTCTCGGAAACACTTTTGTAATCTCTTCATTTACGTCGAAATTTATTCTACGCTTTATGTATTGTACTATATATTACTATCACTATTCATCTGGTAATAGCCCGTACTGAGATGCCTTTTGCGCGACAAGTATTACTTGGCTCTCTCCTCTTCTAATATTTTTTCCACTCCATTTATCGACGTCCGTATTTCGGAAGAATTAAAACGATGCATTCTTTCTCTCTCTTCCGCTTTATCACCGAAGTTCGCGACTATATTTCTATTGGACGAAATCGGATGGCCATATTTTGTCGTAAATAGTAAACGGGTTACGACCAGCTCGGCGAATTGCAGATACGACGATCGTTAGGCCTACTTTCTTCCGACTAATGCCAATCCATTTGTTATATTATCATGGGATAAAGATGGCCGCAGAATTCGCTTAGGTAGCCACAAACAAACAGGCTTAATGAATGGATAAAGTGTTTTTTATTTGTAAGAATAAATAAAGATCTAGAACAATGAACATATTTTCTCAATAAATAAAAACGTTAAGAACGATTATAAATTAACACGCGTCTTATTACGTACTCCGTTTCTACGGTCGACTATTCGTTAAACGCGCCGCCAACGGTTTAAATGCCACTTTGCATATTTGTATCGGATTACAGTAAAATTTGTGGCGGCGCGTCCATCCATTCAAAAACACCGGGCGAAAGTACCGTCTCCGGTCTGGCGGCACCCACCTCTTTATTTCTCCAATGGCTACACATATTTACATCCGAATAGAAAACAGTTGTGACCTCTCCCTCCCGGGTCGACCCTCTTTATTCCTTGTTCTCCCTTCCGCCGGGGGGCTCCTTCCTGGTGACGTCCCTGATGGACGACAGCGTCTTGTGGAGCCACGTGTTCTTCGAAGCCTGCAGCTCGGCCACCGCCCCGTTCAACTGATGAGTCAGATCCTAGAAAACGCCCAACCGTTATTAAACGCTCGTGCCTCCCCGGCTTTTAGCGGGAAAGGCCCGACTCACCTGATTTTTGCACTCGGACTCCACCAGAGCCAACTTGGTCTGCGCCAGTTCCAGCTCCAGTTCCTTCACGTGATCTTCCAGTTCCTGGACCGTCGACAGTTTGTCTTGGGAGTCCATCTTCTTCAGTTTGCCGCCCGTCCTGATCACGTTGCGTTCTTCCAACTGTTTGCAACATTTCTCGCAAGTCTTGACGCACTCCTGAAAAAATAACCGACAGCGATTAAATTGTTGCTCTAAGAGACTCGGCCCGGAAGGGTAATGGCCCAAATAACGAAAACTGAAGTAATAGAAAGGCGTAATCGATAAAAACGCAAAAATAATTTAAATTACAAAGAATTTGCCGATCGATGTTTTAACAAATTTTCGAGGAATTGGGTTCGAACTAGGTTACTACAACGGCGTCGGCGGTCGTTCCTTCGCTCGCACCCGCCAATTCGTATACAGTATAACTTTCCTTATAACTAGGTACTGCACGCCGAAGAGGGAATAAGACCCGTGTCGGAGCGAGAGGAATTAGCAAAATTTTAACACGGCAGGGATAGGGAGTTGCGTGACCAGTACAATATACGGACCATGATCCGGAGAAATCTCTTATTAACAACCGTCCATATTTAAATTCATAATACCATTATCAGCATCACAGTCGTTTAGAAAGGAAACGTTACTATATAATTTTTTTTCTTGTATTTGCCTTGTTTTCATTCACTTTCATAATTGTTGAAAATCAGTATAGAGTGGCCACAAGCTGCAACCTATTAAAATATCTGTGTATGGGAATAAAATGTATCGTTCTGCATTTGTTTCTTCCGTTCTCAACTTTTAAAACAATTCTTGCCTAAATATTTATTCAAATCATATTGATAATATAGCAATATAATTCTAAAAAAATAATTTGAATTACACGATTTTACCAGGTAATGCATCCATATATATTTCCACAATTGAATCAATAATAAATTTCAGATTCATATTTTTTGTTTAAATTTTAAGAGCAATAATAACGCGTAAGACGTAGTGAATAGAAAATTAGAGGAAGAGAATAATCCATGGCAGAACTTTGAAAAGGAAAAAAAGAACTCTCACCATTACAGTTTCAACGGTTTCTCTTCCAGACGTTTGCTCTTTTTCCAACCGCTTGCTTAATTGGCTGCAGATCTGAAAAAATACAAAATATTTGTCACCAAATCTTTTTCTTTCCGTTAGTTGCTACCGGCACATCCAGCATGCAAAGTGAGATATTATTCAATTGAATGAATATGTCAAGTTGAAGAGTAATAACTGAACATAAATTTTTTATATTTAAATACATACACACTTTTTAATGATATTTAATAGTCAGATTTTTATATAAAAAGTTTAAACATGTCTGCTTTAAAAAAGCAGAAATATTTAAAGATCCTGTTTGCACATTCTATTTTGATGCAAGATGAGTTGAACAGAGTTTTGGTTTTTAAAATTATTATAGTTGGAGAATTGGAAATCTTATATTCTTGTAATTTCTTTAGCGTGACGATAATAATCAAATTACTTTTTTCCCTTCCAGAGATCTGTTTGGTTTTATCTGAAATAACTAACTGCTTTTACTTATCGTTGAGTTGTATTAGAACAAATGTGCGGCAATTAATGTTAAGAATTGTAATTTAATGCTAAAAAGGAGGAGAGAGAAGATCCCTCTCTACAAAAGTTCAAAATTCTTTGACGGAACGATTGCGTGGTCGTTCTGCCCACGGCTATTTTGTCAACTGTATGAGGCAACTTGCTGCGGGAAGAGATGGAGAGGTATTCTCCTCCACACTTATATACTAACAAGTACTATTTATGTGTGATAAGGTTTGATAATTTAAGTGATTTTACGATTAATTGCATTTTGCTTCTACAGAATTCTTGGAGAAATCAAAATATTTAATTTCTATTACATTAATAACTACTATCACAAGTACACTTTTAAAATGTAGTGTGTTAAGCTTTTACAAATTATGCAGAGATGATGCATTTTGTTCTTGAATCGTGGAAATGGGTAATATTAAATAACATTTGCTCCAGGGGAAATAATCGTTTTTTTCAGTATAAGCGAAATTTTTGTATTATTCCGTATTATATTCTAAATTTATAGTTCTTGAATAATATAATTTAATCTAAAAATTACACTGCAATTTCGTTCTTTCTACTGCAATTTCACGTAACATATTTGATTTTGTAATTCCTTAAGAGCCGTAATGCCACTATCCAATAAAGATATCACTGGCAGGAATTGAATTAATTTTGAACAATTGGAAAATTATTTTGTGTGTTGTATATATGAACTGCTCATTTGCTCAAAGTGACCAACTGTACAGAATAAAAACTAGTAAAATAGACAAAATATATATTATTTTTTAAAAATTTCTTATAAAATTTAAATAAACATTGTAGAATGCATCATTACAAATGTGGATTTATCTAAAGACATTAGTATATTATTGGAATAATAATTTTTTTACATTTTTTGCATAACTAAGGGAGTTTATTGATTTGGCCCACTTTGATCCAATCTCAGAAAAATGACTGGATCTCTTCCGTACTGACACGAGAAGTAGGATAGGTCACCCTGTCCCGTTGGAAATAACCTTTCTGAAGTTCACGACTGCCAATTAACAAATTTGTTGAATATAAACAAATATCGATTGTTATTCACGACATCGAGGAAAATTGAACCAATAATGCGAGATTGGGCTACTGTTACTCCTCCTTCACGTCATGCAATCAACTTTTTATGAAATAGTAAACATTTTGAGCCTTATTTTGTGTTGTTACGTGCACGTATTGTACAGTTATTTGCAATTATAAAGGGTTGATATATAGGGTGTCTCGTTTGGGGCACCCTGTATAAATTAATGGTAAAATAGTAAATATGTTAATTTTTCCTCTGCATAGTATCCAAACTCTAGCTTTGTATGTCTGTAATTAAATATTAATGTCTTTAGAAAAGTTCTAATGGCCGCATACTTACTTGTTTGTAATCTGCAATAATAGCATTACATCGAATGATTTCGTCTTCTGTCCTTTCCAGTTCTCTGCGACACATTTCTTTAAGCTATAAGAAAAAAAGTTTTAGAATCAACTATCAACATAATCAATATGAAAAAGCCATAAAAATACAAATTAAATGTCATATAATGAATAGTTCTTATCATATAAACAAATTCTATGCAATCAAAATATTTCCATTAATGTAATAGCCTCATGGTTTTACAATAAAATGAATAATTTTTTTTAATTAAAAATATTGGATTGTTTTTAGTTTAAAACATCTTAACAAATTCATTAAGTATTTATGATATTGCTAATAAAATAACCATTTATCTCATTCCAGTGATAATATTTGAGGTTCTGACAGATACATAGTGACAAAAACAATACAGTTTTACTGAAAATAAAAAAAATAATATTTAACTTTCTCAAATGTGAAGTTTAAATATTTTTGATAGCATTTTTATTTCATTACTTATAAATTTTTCTACTAAATCTTCTAATTTTAAGACTTAACATTCCAATTTTTATTTTGTATGCTAATTTAACGAGGTTTCATTTTACAAAGTTCTGCACATACAACTTATATTTTGTCCAATGTAAATAGGAGAGAGAAATATTAAATCCCAATTCAAACATCATAAATTCATACATAACAACAAAAAAGTGACACAATATGTAATGAAATATGAGTTCAAACACCTACTTGCACAGTGAAATGGGAAAATGTAAGTAGTGTCATAGACACACCTTACATAAAGTTAACAAGAATTGTTTCACTGCATTTCAATGAGATCTTTTATTGGAACTCAATTGATGAATGTTAACACAAATTAATTTTGCACATTCAATAGCAATTGTTTTAAAGCTAAATTTTTTTGATAAAATGTTTAATGATAGAACAGTTTTGTTAGTCACAGATTTTATTCAGTAATTTTCAAGCAATAATAATAGTTTTATCTGTGTTCTCTTGTTTTATCTCCTTTTTCTATTCAGTAAGAGAGAGGTGTGTGTGTAAGCGTGAGCTAGCACCTGAAAACAGAAAATTACTATAGCATTCATCATTTTTTTCATCAAACATTTCTGCAGTTTTTGTGTTCTTGTTCATTGTGATAGTTGAATGTTCTAAATTTAACTTTATTTACAAATTAGAAGTGTATGTACAACTCTGTCAAAAAAATTGTCAATCTTACAATTCCAGTATTTTCCAACTTTTATAATTTTAACATTGGAAGGTTAAGTCATTATTTACTAATACTTTGCTTAGTATCTGATTAATCTGTTATTTGACTATACTTTTAAAAAACTGCTTCTAAAAATGCTAAATAGTTTTTAAATACACTGATGTGCAAAATTTAAGAAACAATTGATTTTTTGTCATAACTCTAAGAAATCACCTGGGAGACATGAAATTCAGAATACAGAGATACTATTTTGTACTTAAAGGATGAAGAAAACATACTAGCACAAAAATGAATAGAATGCAGTATGGAGTGTGATGTGTGCGAGAGTAGAGGAGGCGTGGAGCTATGGCAAATCGTCGTTTGAGCGCTTGTTCTTTTTGCAAGCACAAAGTTTTGGAAAATGACTTATTGACTTNTTTTTAACGAAATAAATAACGAAATTTGATAAAAAGGTTTTCGTCAGTGTACAACAATCGAATAACCGGTAACAAACGTTTTAAATTCGGTAAATGCCAAGGCCGGTCCTCCGTTTTTATTTAGAAGTGCCGGAAACCGCTACAAAAAGGTCCGGTTGACGCGGCGTAATTTGGACACGGGACTATTTTCGGCCAGAGTCGAGGGACGTTTCGGAAGATCGATGGATAAAATTCGAAGCGCGTTTCATTGGACTGAGTCACCCAGTCCCGGCATTCCTCCTTACCAAAAAAAGTCGGGTCGAGTTCGACTTCTTTCCGGATGGTTAGCCACGGTTCGGGCCTACGTTTCTAATAAAGATTTTTATATCTTTTTCCTCTTCTCTATTATCTTTTCCGACTGTCGACTGTTTAAACGAAAACAGCGATTCTATCCCCGGGTTCTCTATATCTATACCTTAACCGCGGTTTTTATCCAACCTTGGTTATTCCGGATTGTCCTTAAAAGTTGCGTTTCGGTAGATCCGCCAAACACCAGAATTTTTCTAAAGTTAAATGCCGAAACCGAACGTTAAATACAAATTTCATTTCGAAACTACTTATATAGAAAGTTAAGGACGGCGGAAGATTTTGCCAGGCTTTCTCCTAATATTCTAGTAAGTTACGTATATAATAAATTACAATTTTTGACCAATAACCGTAGTTTCGTTATAACGCTAGTCGTTGGAGCTACGAATAGACGAACCGCTGGCGTTAAAGGAAAACAAAAATATACCAAAGACTCGTCGTAATTCGGTTTAACTCGGACCGAAACGAAATCCAACGAACGGAACTCGGAGGAGGCGATTTTTTACGGGTGGACGGTGATTTTGAAGAAAATAATTTCCATTTTGGTCCCCGGGAAGAATCGATGTCGGATGAGCGTTAAGGTGGCCGGAGCGAGAGAAGACGTAGTACATAATCGTCACCCTTTTGAATACGTAGATTTGCTTCGGTTGGTTAGAACGAAGGCATTTTCTGTTGTTTATCGCCCGATTAAGACCGACGAACTATTTGGCCAGATAAAACCGGTCTAAGTCGGTTCGATTCCATTGGCAGACGGTATAAGCCACATCGACGCTAGAAATCTTTGCAAACGTATAAAAAGAGTTTCTATAAGAAACGTTAATCGAAGATTAGGTAACGTATTGACGGACCGAGAGGATAAAATTAAAACGAAATTATTGTTTCCGGGTCAATCTTCTTGGTAGAATTTTAATTCGAGAGGCATTAATTAATTTCCTGCCTTCTCGTGTCTGCAATTTAGTCTATCGGCCAAAGACCGGATTAATAAAACCAGCGTTGGAGGTCGTTATACTAGTAAATATTTGGCTAACGAAAGTTAACGCCGATTTATTAAATGACCCGCAAATACCTACGGTCGCGTATTCTTATAACGTTTCGTACTGGAAAGTCGAATGCCTTCTAGCTACTTTCGCTCGTTAAGCGGAAGGATTACAATTTTTAAGTTTCTTTTCTTCGTTTTAATGAGTTTTGTTAGTCTATTGTCGTACAACGGGTTATAATAAAAGCCGAGTTACTCGACGGTTCGGTCATCCGTGCATTTCTGTCTTTTTCCGGTGATCGACCCGGGCTAAGTTACGCGCGTTTATTACACGCGGCGATTAAGTGTCGAAATTCGATCGTTTCGTCAGTGTCGTTTGGAATTGCGACAAGTTTGAAGGGAAATTTCGATATTATTATTGACTAAAGAAGCAACCTGGTATATTTAACTATAAATTCTTTTAGTCATTTTTTATAATTACTTGGGGGAAAACTTTTTTTTACTATTAAATTACTAGCTTCCTTACACCATTAGTCACGTGTTAAAAATAAGAAATAGTTCATCCCGAAAGCTGGTCACCGAGTTGTTCCAAACGTTTCCTCCGTACAAAGTTAACTTTAAAAAAAAGTAGTAATAAATACGGTACTAATTTTATATTTATTTGTTACGTTGTCCGTATTGTTGTATAGAGTTTTACTTAACAAAATTGGTTAATTAATTGACGAAACTTCAAATTTATAAAAAATTGACGTATTTATTACAATAAATTTTAAATTTAGCGAAATACTACTTTAAATATTAAATACGAATCGCGTGCATTTTACGTAGGATAAGGCGCTAGAATTCGGACGAAAACGCGACCCGCCCGGTTGATACGCGCGGACGATTCTCCAGTCGAACGCTCGTCCTCGTTGCCACGCGTTAAATGAGTAATTTTCCGCTTTCGTAGCTACAAACTCTTATCTTTTGCTTAATTTTTCGAGGGGAAGGAATTACGAATCGACGAGTTGGTTTCCGTTCGACTTTAATATTTGCCGAACGTACTGTACAGTAGGTAATAGTGTCTTCTCCACCATCGAGTAACGAGAGGAATTTAAACTAAAAATAAGAATTTAAGATAACGGCGTTTGGATGACGGTAAGGTTAATTACGGACCCGGAAAAATGAACTTTTTAGGCCTACAAAAAGTCGGGTTTTCTATAAATGCAACTTATATATTCTTATTTATTTATTTAACGACTGCATCGACGAATAGGGAAGTAATACAAAGGTAGGGTAAAAAGCCACTGGGCGGGGGATGGACCCGGCACTTCCTCCGCTTATCGTTTAACGGAGACGAGACGAAAAGGGAATCCGCCATCTTGTATTTGCGCGTCCCTTAGTGGCTCCGAAAGAGAACGGTTCGAAACGGTCGTTGGCCATTATACAAAGCGCGTTCCGGTGGTTATAAAATAGGCCGTTTTATCGGCCCGGAAAGCGGTAGAAGTCGGATAGTCTTCGTACCGCGTTTTTCCCGGCCAAGTTAAAATTTTTTATTTGGGAGAAACCCTGGCCCGTGACAATAAATCGACACCGCTTACCTTCGTTTTTCAATAAATGCCTTTATTACTTAGTTTCAATTAACGTCCCTTCCAGGCGGTATAATTGCCATTTCGAGTCGGACCGAAAATATACGAAAAACGCCTACGTAACAGGTCGATTAGGTGGCGCCGGAAATTCCGTCGACAATCGCCTTTTCTTCCGGGTCAATCCGCCGGGCGTGTACGGAATTTCTCGCGGCTCCGGCAGAAATTCTGTCATCCGCTACCGACAGAAACCACCAAACTTTTTCCTCCGTCAGTCCCTTTACGTTTTCCGCCAAAAGGGGCCGGGGGTTCCTTCCTCCACCCTTCTGCCCCGCAAAAATAACCGAAATCGCGGTTGGGTTAGGAAGCGCTCCCCGGAATTTTCGAATTCCGTTCGATCGGCAAAAATCGGATTTCTGTATTTCGTCCGTCCCATTACCCGGGAATACCCAGTCCCGAGGACGGCGGAATATCGGGCGTAAATCGGTTCTCCCCGGACTATTCTCGGCCTAGCGATTACCGCGCTGCCGGCGGCGGAAGCGTTTATTACCAGGCTTTGTCCACCACCTTTCTAAAAG